GCGCCGCGCCGCCCCGCCCCGCGCCGCGCCGCCCCGCCCCGCGCCGCGCCGCCCCCGCCGCGCGACACGCTGCTGCCGCAACCCGGGTACTTCCCGCAAGCTCCAAGCGTAAGTGTCGAGGGAGGAGTGCTCTTTCTGTCTCTCTCGCTACCCCTCCCCGCTTTATCTCTTCTCTCTCTCTCTCCTCCTCGCCTTTCTCCCTCCTTCTTTCCCCACCCCGCCCCAGGCGCAGCAAGGCCTTGCGAATTGAAAGGCTTTCTCGGGTGGGGGGGGGATTGGCAGTAGCAGGAATCTGCCGGGGAAGGTGGGGGCACACCTCATCAACAAGGGTACCTGCCTGATGAACATTTGTATACCTAACCCTGAATTGCACCCCACATGTTTAAAATAAAAAATATTTAAGGCCGGGCACGGTGGCTCAAGCTTGTAGTCCCAGCACTTTGGGAGGCCTGAACATCATGGTGAGACCTCTACAATAAATCAAAAAATTAGCTGGGCATGGTTCCATGCGCTTGTAGTTCCAGCTACTTGGAAGGCTGAGGCGAAAGGATCACCTGAGCCCAGGAGCTCGAGGCTGCGGTGGCCGTGACTGTGCCATTACACTCCAGCCTGTGTGACAGTGAGACTCTGGATGAAAAAAGTTAAAATTAAAATTAAAAAAATTTATAAAGGGTTTAGGGAAAAAAGAAAGAAGGGCTCTCTCTGCTCACGTTCCCATTTTGAGAAGCATTCTTGTATTTAGAAAAGACTAATGTGTCCTACAGTGGTATGCCATTAGAGATAATGACCCCGGCCAGGCATGGTGGCTCACGCCTATACAGGTGGAGGCTGCAGTGGCTGGGATAGTGCCACTGCCCTCCAGCCTGGACTAGGGAATGAGACTCCAACTCAAAAAACAGAAATAATGGGCCGGGCTCTGTGGCTCAAGCCTGTAATCCCACCACTTTGGGAGGCCCAGGTGAGGGGATTGCCTGAGCCTACAGGTTCAAGAACAGCCTGGGCAATGGAGCAAGACCTCATCTCTACAATAAATCGAAAATATTAGCCAGGCATGGTAGCGCACGCCTGTAGTTCCAGTTACCGGAAGGCTGAGGCAGAAGAATTGCCTAAACCCAGCAGGTCAAGTCTGCGGTGGCCGTGAGCGTGCCGCTGCACTCCAGCCTGGGTGACAGAGTGAGGCTCCAACTCAAAAAGAAAGAAAGAGTGTAGGAAAATATTTCTTCTCCTAGTCATCAAATGTAAAATGCAGGTTACAAACTGAATGACTCCTTTTAGTTTAAAACTACAAATACACACAAGATAAGGTATGAGTGACTTGGTTATAGTATCTTTGGACAGGACATGTTTACAAACATCTTTTTTTTTGGCATCAAAATTACCCAAGTGCCCTCTATGTCAAATATATATATATATTTTGAGTTGGAGTCTCACTCTGTTGCCCAGACTGGAGTGCAGTGGCCGCTCCCAGCC